AATTTCCTGAACTCTTAATTCCATGCCTCTATTTAATATTGCCGAAGGTTAAATGTTTTCTGTGCTAGAAAATGTAGATATCTCAGTTTTCTCATTTACTTTAAGAAATTCTTTCTTCAAGATTTCTGAGCAGAAATATAGTGTATATACATTTGCTCCTAAAGATTTAACTCAGAACTGAAATATACAGCTTCTTATAAAGAGTCTACAGGTAGGTTTAAAAACTATTATATGGATGAGGTGCAGTTCTGAGTGAAACTGTACTAGATCTGATGTTTGGGTTTGTTTCATTTGTTGGTTTTTGGTGGTTGTTGATTTTGCTTTTAGTAACTGGTTCAATCCTCTACCAAGAGAGGATTGACAAAAATGTTATATTAAAAATTGAAGTCCAACAGAGCTTAAAGGAAAATATATATAAAGAAAATAAACCTGTGCTTATCTAAACGTGGATACCTGACTGGCTGTTTCAGAGAATACCTTCTGCCTCCTGAGACACAGCCTCTCCATGAGGTGGTGTACTTCAGCGCTGCCCATGCCCTTCGTGAGCATTTAAATGCTGCTCCGCGAGTTGCCCTCCATACTGCACTCAACAATCCTTACTATTATCTAAAGGTAAGATGAACATTTAGTTCCCTGACAGTTTAGCTCAGGCTCTGGGCTTCACAAAAACATTCTAAATTTGCAGTTATGGTTTAATGAGCAGAGAGTTGGCAGCTCAGGGTTACACCTCTCATATATTTTTAAAAATTCTTGAGACTGTAGAAAAAATTTCTAACCCTGTAAAGATACCAATCAGTAGTCAACTGTTGCTGCCAGTTTTTGACCATGTGTAGTCTCTGCCCTTCACATGCTAAAGTCAGATCATAGGTACAAAGATTCCAGAGTATAATGTTACCACTCCTGTGAAAATAACAGATAGGGATTAAACAATATGGCCTAATAAATTACTTAAAGATCAAAATGGTTGTATCTAGTGGGAAAGAGAAATACTTTGGGACTTCATCTTGGATTTTAAACCAAAGAAAGATCTATTCTGAGAGCATCTGCAGAGCTGAGTGTGGAGGATAGCCAGCAGTTCACCACTAAAACTCCTGGAACAACACACTTCAATAGTGCCCTTGCTAAAGCCCAGACACAGTTATCAACTCTTAGAAGCTCTTTAAACAAAAGCTTAAGACAGCTCACAATTTTAGAATCTAGCTTTCTTATGACCAGGCAAAATGATCACTTTAAATATTCAGTAAGCTGTATATACATGAAAGAGTTGTAAGTTAAATACCCAGAAATCTTGCCACAATAAATACTTAAGCAACTCCATAAGACCTATGAAGAGCATTCCAGCGTATTGTTTTCTCATTGCAAAATGGCACACAAACATGCTCAGTATTACAAGAGTACTGAGTAGGATGATATAAATCAGTGGTTTTCAGTGATGGTGAAAAACATTGAATAATTTCATACTTAAGGAACAGCAACAAAAAAATCAGTTATTTTTAATATATAAACCACAAATTAAAACTTTAAAAAAATCTTGGCTAGTGGGTCACAGAAGAGAACTGGTATGATTTCAGTTGTCTTTGGGTGGGATATAATATACCCCTGATATTACAATATCAGAGCAGGGTGTGTATGTAAGACATTGTGTTCCTCAATAAAAGCCATGGATTTCAAGTAGGTTGAAGAAACACTGATGGTTTCTCTAGGGCTTAAGATCTGCAATGTTGACAACATAATCTTTTCTTTAAAAGTTAATTTATACCCCTGGTAAGTGGTATTAGTATTTACTAATACAGTATAGTAATTGTTAGACTTCAGCTAACAAGTGTTGGAAGTACCATTTTATTAAGTATTCCTAAAGATTTCCATAAACTTTTTATAGCAAGTGCATTCAGGTCTCAGAAATTGGTAATTTATGGATTGAGAAAAATGTGCTTGTCTTCTAATCTTGGGACTTGTTCTAGTGACTAAGAACTAGAGGGGTTGTGACCAAGACAGAACCTAAACAAGAACTAGCTAACTATTGAATAGACTCACTAAATAAAGGAAACCAAGATTCCATTTACTGATGTACTCAGTTTAGGTTGAGGGCTTTATTAATGTCTGATTTTGTTCCTAATTATTTCTAAAAGGTAGTGATCTTCGTTTACTGTTACTTTTTAGAATGAAGCACTGAAAAGTGAAGAAGGCTGCATTCCAAATATCGCCCCAGACATCTGCATAGCATATAAACTGCACCTAGAGTGTAGCAGGCTAATCAACCTTGTGGACTGGTCGGAGGTAGGTCAGGGGAAAAGAGGAAGCTGGGTATTTTTCTAAACATTCATGATGCCTTTCTCAGAGTAGTTTTATACTTTTAGTGCTTTGGAATTCATATTGTGTTTAATGCCTTGTCTTTTATTTGGAAAGCATTAATCGCTTCAAACTTTAAAAGTTCCTTGGGAAGTGGTAGCTCAACAATCCCCACTCCCAATCCCCGGCTCTCTGATCCTGCATTCCTTAACCAAGCCAAGTCTGTGTTTTTATGCCAGGTCAAAATAAGTATGTGATCTAACAACCCAATAGTTAGCACTAAGCAGAAACCAAGCAATTTAGGTCAGTTCTGTTATTTCACAAAATAAAGTATATTATTAACTAGCATTTCTCTTCTTGGATAAAAGAAAAAAATATTGAAATAACTACATAACAGATTTAGCAATCAGGAAGTACAAGGAATACTTGGAAAGGCAATAAACAACTGTCGTTTTCTTTAAAATAAACAACTATTATTTCTGTCTTCAAAATAATATTACAAAGATCTTAACTCTATTACAGGCCCTACAGATGTCTTATCACCATTAAAAATTATCCATAGTTGACTGCTTCCAAGAAAAATAGATATTTTGCTGGGGTAAGATTAGGAGTGGAGGAAACAGGCCTTTCTTTTTCTTTTGACTAGCTTTGTTTCTTGATTTTCTCTGCATACTCTGAGTTCTCTAAAGCAAAATTATTCAGGAACCATTAATCTTTTAATATATAAGTGGTTTAAAGTGATCATCATTGTAGTTTTGACAATCTTAAATTTGATACAATAAAAAATATGGGCCAGCTATCAACAGCCATTAAAAAAAAAGTAGAGTAAAAGATGTTTGGCAACTGTAGACATTTTTATTTTCTTCTGTCTTGTCTGTTCAAAAGGCTTTTGCAACAGTCGTGACAGCTGCTGAAAAAATGGATGCAAATTCTGCAACCTCAGAAGAAATGAATGAAATTATCCAGTATCCTTTTAAAAACATGTCCAAATACACATAAAATATTTTTATAATTTCTCCAGATCTACACTAGTTATTTATAAAGGTATACTCCAAACAACCTTATTACTTGTTAATATTAATCATACTGTGCTATAATAACTGAAATTACTAAATCTTTATTTTGCATTTAATCCAAAATGAGACCAAACCTAAAACTTTTGGTATCAAATTTATATCAAGATTATGTTCCAAAATTTACCAAAAATGAAACTGCCATTATTGAATTCTTTTTTTTTTTTTTTTTTTGAGATAGAGTTTCACTTTTGTTGCCCAGGCTGGAGTGCAGTGGCACAATCTTGGCTCACTGTAACTTCCACCTCCTGGGTTCAGGCAATTCATCTGCTCAGCCTCCCAAATAGCTGGAGAGATGGGATTTCACCATGTTGGCCAGGCTGGTCTCGAACTCCTGACCTCCCTCAGGTGATCCGCCCACCTCGGCCTCACAAAATGCTGGTATTACAGGCATGAGCCACTGCACTGGTCTGAATTCTCTATTTTTCTAATGTTATATTTAGAAGTGGGGGTGGGGAGCAACTTCCATACTATGTAAAACATTAGATTTAGGAAGCATTAAGTACTTTTCCATTTATGTTTTATTGACAGTGGATTCTAATTAATGTTTTCCAGTAAGAGTTATAGTTTAATTTAGGAGTTTATATTTGAACTATCTATTTCACTTTACCAACTAGTATTTTAACATTGAGATTTTAACTCCTTTTTGTCAAAAATACAGTATGGCCAGTTTCCTTAACTAAAGCCTCCAGTGCTCGGTTTATTAGAGCTGTTTCTGAGCTAGAACTTTTAGGATTTATAAAACCTACCAAACAGAAGACTGACCATGTGGCAAGGCTAACATGGGGAGGCTGCTAGAAAGCAAATGAGCAAAGCCAGAACTATCACATTTAGCTTAAGAGAAAAAGGTGAACTATCATATTTACATATACTAGAGGAGCCTGTTTTGGTGAGAAGATAAATGTCTAATCCTCATGTGATGTTTAACCAGAAAAGTACATTGCTAACCCCAAATGGGCATATATCAAAACACCTGTGGAGTACTTTAGAATCCAACAAACAATACATAACTAATACTGCTCACACATTTTACTGTACTTTCCACAAAGTCATTACTAAATTGTGAGTAAATCATTCTTGAACTTATAGTATATAAATGTAATAAATTCCTTTATCCAGGAGTATAATTTGCAGTTGGTTTAACAGACCTCATTCCTCCTCCCCCAATTTCTTGCATTGGCATTCCTCACTTTAGTGTAGTAGACAGTAGGTAAACATGAATATCCTCCAGGTTTGTATCTGCTGGTAACTACATAGGTTCCAAAACTGTCTCTGCCTCCCCATTTCCTTTAGTCTTACAACTTAAAAAAAAAGGTCCAAACTGTTTGGCTTTATGCTTAAAGGCAGTAAATATTCCATTTCTGGATGACCCATCATGGAGCCAGTAAGGCCTTTAAAAATCACATCCCAAACAAATAAAAATCAGATGAAGAAAGTAAGGCCTAGATGAATGACATCTCAATCTCTTCCATAGCAGAAACTCAAGACATAATGAAACAAAGTTAGCTAAAGTTTCCTATTTAATGCTCTGTTCCTGAGAGAATTCTGGGACTTTAAGACTACTCACTAACATACAAAATTACCATGCATATATTTTGGTTTGCAAACCTTGGAACTATGTAATCGCAGGATTGTGTGTGTGCATGTGTGCTCACAGGCTTTGAAGAGTTTTATGAGTGTCCATTATCCAAAATGCTTGGGAACAGAAGTGTTTTTGGATTTTAGATTTTGGAATATTTGCATACCTACAAGTTCAGCATCCAAAACCCAAAAGGCTCCAGAGAGCATTTCCTTTGAGCATGTCAGTACTCAAAAAGTTTCAGATTTTGGAGCACCTCAGATCTGAGATTTGGGATATTCAAGCTGCATAATCAAACCTCCTTCATTCAAGGATGTAAAAGGAGGTATTAATACGAGCTTAGAATAAAGAACACCTTAGACCTCTGCCAACATGGTGGGCTGAGACAACATTAATGGGTCACCCTTCTCACCTCACTCCCTGCTTCAAGCACATAAAAATGCTAGATGAAATGTATCTCAAAAAAATGTCTGGCTGGGCACGGTGGCTCACGCCTGTAATCCCAGCAGTTTGGGAGGCCAAGGCGGGTGGATCACCTGAGGTCGGGAGTTCAAGATCAGCCTGACCAGCATGGAGAAACCCTATCTCTACTAAAAAATACAAAATTAGCCAGCATGGTGGCACATGCCTGTCATCTCAGCTGCTTGGGAGGCTGAGGCAGGAGAATCGCTTGAACCAGGGAGGGGAGTTTGCTGTGACCCATAATTGTGCCACTGCATTCCAGTCGGCGCAAGAACGAAGCTCTGTCTCAAAAGAAAAAAAAAAAAAAAAAAATCAAAATGTCGCCAAGACTAAAAAAGGGAAAATCCCAAGGTACCATGAATAATCAACTGGAAGAACAGCAAAGGTGGCCAGTGTGGACAAGGCAGAGTGAGCAGTAAGAATTTAATAGGAATTGAATGAAACGGGGTGGAGGGCAGGTAATTTAGGGCTCCATAGACCATTGTAAGGTTTCTTTTACTTAGGAAGCCATCTAAGCAAGACTTTAACTTTTAAAGGATCAGTCTGGTTGCTATGAGAGAATAGGATGGGTGAGAGGAGACACAAATGAGGCAAAATAAGACCAGTTGGGAAACCACAGAAATAATCCAAGCAAGCTATGATAGTGTCTTGGATTAGGGTAATAGAAGTAGAGATGGTAAGATTTTAGGTGGAACTAAGCTTAAAGGATATAAGGAGTCCAAGACCATTTCTGCCTGAAAAACAGTCATTAAGGATGACCGGGAGGGAAAATTTCAGAGGCAAAAGTAAGTTTTAGACATAAATTTTAAGGTGTCTAGTAGACACTTAACTGAAGATGTCACACAGGTTAATATAATCTGATGTCCTTATGAGATCACCAAGATGAGTACTAAGAGGAGGTAAGCAGCCCAAGGTGGAGCTCGGGGGCGGGGGGACACATCTATGTTTTATCAAAATTTAGGGAAATGAAGATTGGGCCAGCAGCAAAAGACAGACTGAGAAGGATCAGCCAGTAAAGGAGAAACATCAAGCAAGTGTAGTATTTTGCAAGACAACCGAAGAGTGCTTCAAAAGTAAAATACTAGCTGCTGATGAGATTTAACAATGTGGAAATCTTTGATGAGTTTTACTAAGAGTAGTGGAGACGAACCCTAATCACCTATCAGATGACCCAACCAAGTGTCCAAACTTAGCAGCCTGGAAAAGCCATAACTGTGTGATGCAATATGGAAACAACAGCATCACCTCGTACTCTTGCACAAAAAGTTTAACCTGAAACTTACAAAGACTTTAGGCCTAACTTGCAGTTTACAGGAAGTTCAAAGGGATATTAGAAGTTAAATTAATGACACTACCAAAAACACTCAACAAGACAGCAGGACTAGTATTTCCAGAAAGTGAAAATCTTAATTGAATCCTGTTTGGGGGATGAGGGTAGTTATTTAAAAAAGAGACACATGAAAAAATCTGAAGTGACTTGATGTTAAATTTTAGGTTAGACAATGGTATTATATAGAATCATTTTCTTAGGAGATGCATGTTTAAGTATTGTCATGTCTACGACTTCCTTTGAAATAGTTTCATACAAAGCAAATATGGTAAAATATTAATAACTGTTCAATTTAAGTGGACCATTATACTATTCTTTCAACCTTTCTGTTGAAATATTTTTCCTAATAAAACAAGTTGTTGAAAAAAGGAGGGGGTAATAAACTGGAGGAAGTTTAGAAAATTCTTGACTTTTGCTTTTATAAGGGGGAGCAGTAAAATAATCACTAGCAAGGGATATAGGATCAAAAGATTTTTAAGTAACATAATGATGCTTTTGGAAGTGATTTAGTAGAGAAAATAGATGTATTAGAGAGAGGACTGCTGGAGCTGTATCCTTTGCCTGAGACATGGGTTTGCATCTAGTGCTCCTTACCTAGGGCAAATGCAGGAGCAGAGAATTGTGGGAGCCATATATCCATCAGTAGACAAACTATTAGGGTGCTTTTGTAGAATATTCACTTAACACCAATTACTAAACGATTTTGAAGGGAGTAAAGAGAACCCAAACGGGGCAAAAACAAGTCATTCGCAACCGTAGCTGCTTGGATCACCTAGGCAGCATGTTAAACAGATTCAAAAAGTTCTTCCCCACCACCCCCCAATTGTCTAAAGCAGTCTCTAGGGATAAGTAGAGCCTGAGAATCTTCTACCATTTTCTTTAGGGTCTTGCCATAGGCCAAAGACAGCTTTAGTATTTTAAATATCCAATATTTATTTTTCTCAGATTGCCTATTTTTCAAAAAATAGGATTATAGCTATGTGCACTTGTTAATCAGAGATTTACTAAACAGATCATAGTACAGTACTGTATCAGTACTGCCTTTCACTTAAAAGAATGAGACTGTTAACACACAATTCTGCAGATACTAATTACAAGCAATTTCAGGGATTTGGGGAATTCAGAATCCCTAGGTAGCTAAAATAATCTTCCTATTGAAATCATGTGTGGTTGGCATTTGGACTAATCAACTAATGGACCCATCTAAAGTCAGAGTAGCCTATAAGCTAGGACTTTTGGGTAAGTGATAATGCAGAAATTTGGCTGTAAAAGAAAAAAATCTTTTTTTTGAGACACAGTCTCACCGTGTCACCCTGACTGGAGTGCAGTGGTGCAATCTCAACTCACTGCAACCTCTGCCTCCCAGGTTCAAGCGATTCTCATACCTCAGCCTCCTGAATAGCTGGGACTACAGGCCATCCTGCTAACCGGTGGTTCTTAGCCAGGAACTCTTGTCCCTCGTGACATTTGGCAATGTCTGCAGACACTTTGGTTATCACAATTGGGGGAAGGGGTTTAACTGGCCTCTAATGGTAGAGGCCAGATATGTGACTAAATATCCTATAATACACAAGAACAGCCACCACAACAAAGAATGATCTGGCCCAAACTGCCAGTAGTGCTGAGGTTGAGAATCTCTGTTCTAAGACCATTAAATGGAGGTAGAATTATGTACCTTGTTGCCACCCTGTGCTATACCAATGTTCCTCAATCTAATTGACATATAAATTGCCTGGCCACCTTGTGAAACCACTTTTTAGGCTTGTTTTAAACAAAGAATTGGTGAAATGTAATTACCTAAGCTAAAAAGGAAAAAGTAAATCCTTTTACTAACTTGATCAATTATAATTGTATATTTAAGATTGTCTTAAATTTTGGAAATATGCTACTAGAATTCAACAAAAGAATTCACTGAAGCATTTTTTTGCTCACTTCATTATAAGAAAGCTATGTCTGGAAACCCTGTATGGAAAGAGTCAGATTTGCTGAATCATGCTTTTTCATATCAAGTCCTTAAAAGAAAAAAACAGGTTTCTACTGATATCTCAGGTAAAAATTCTATAGCAGTTAAGATATCTATAATATTCTATCAAGTAGTAAGTTACGGAAGAAGGGATTTAGAATCAGAACTCAGTTTTTTGAAATAGCACTCAAACCTTAGAAAATTAACTTCACTGATTTCTGGAAAATGCTTATGTTTTAAAACACCGACTTTATTCAAATACTACCCCCCATCTGTACATTAAGAAACAAGCAGAACAGAAGTAAATGTTTTATTCTTCCAACTAAATTCCAGTACTACAAGGGCAGTAAAACAATGATACACTGGAAAAAAAATGCAGCAATAAACATTTGTTAAAAAGACTGATAGAATAAATAAAACTACCAAAAAAAAAAAAAAAAAAAAAGAAAATCATATAAACCCACTCTGAAACCCCAAGAAGTCCGCGAATACAGAAATGCCCTCCTTCATTATTTCACAGGAAGCACTGTAGGCTACTTGCTTAATATTGTCCTGGGATTACATTCTAAAATTAGTAACTGGTTACAGCTTGGTTGTAGTGCACAATTAAAATCACACTAACTTCATCTGAAGTGTCATTCTACAGTTTTATTTACACAACCAGTGAAGGGCATGTTCTAGAATACCAGCTTTAATCCTTTTCAAACATTAATATAAGAAGCCAAATTGTAATGATACAGCAAAATGAGGCCACTGGTATTAATACAGGTAGCAAAGGTCCACATCCAGGTGGTAC